GGCCAATTGGATAGGAATTGAAAGTTAAAAGTTATGTATACGATAGTATTATTTAAACAAAAGTTAGTCACATATTTTGTAAAATAAAAAATTGCCCATATTTTTAGTGTAGAATTAAAATTTTGCGATTGTCATTTCCTTTGTGAGTTATCCTTTTTTTAGTTATACTAAATTGAAGTGAACTAACTTTTAATTTTTCCAAGAGAGGCTCGAAATATTTTTGATTGGACTGATTTCAGTCCATATTGGGATGGAGTTGCTTTATTTTTGTATTTATGTCTAACGTAAATGTATTGAGAAATTACTCTAAATAAGAGTAGACATGTCTCGTAATTTCGAAGTAGAATTGTTATATTTTTCTTTTTGAAATAAGAGTTGTTAATGTCATAATTGAAAAATATTCATATTAATATCTACTACTGTAACTATTTTGACAACAAATTATAGGGAAAAGGGGCAAATAAGCCCTCGAACTAACCGAAAAAGTGCAAATCACCTCTTTTATTGGAGACTCTGTCCGACCGTTGCTATTTTAGGCGCTTCCAGGTGCCATTTTTTGATGAAATTTTTTGAGCATCTTTTTCATTAAGTCTAGTTTACTCATACCAAATTTCAGCTATAAATTCAATCGTGAAGGCAGTCAAATAAATGTTTGAAGATAATTGTGCATTTAAACAGTGCAATATATTTCAGAAAATCATTTGGCTGCCTTCCCAGTTGAATTTTTACCTGAAATTTGGTATGAATAAACTAGACTTATAGATGAAGATTCTAAAAAAAGAATCATCAAATAATTCTACCGGTAACCTTCCCAAATGTCGACGGACAAAGAGAGCCTCCTATAAAAGGGGTGATTTGCACTTTTTCGGTTAGTTCGAGGGCTTATTTGCATCTTTTCCCTAAATTATATCTTGTCATGTTATTCCTATTTTGAAATTAAAAAAAATATAAATCTTATTTAAGAATTTCAAAATATAGGAACTTTGTAAGTTGTTTTCATTTTTTTGTGTAGGAATGGATGCTTGAGTTTTTTCCGTATTAATGTTAATTAATTAATTATTTACGAAAATATGGTTGAGTTAAAAGTATTTACCAATATACTGCTGGGTTAACCATGGTCGGGGTAAGTCGCCCAACCGTTGGGCGACTTTCCCTCAAGTAAAAACATCAGCGAGCCACAAAACAGAACGACGTAAACCCAATCCCCAAATCCCCCAAGCCGCAGCGACGAAGGACGAAGGACGAACGACGACCGAGCGAACCTCCATCTCCGGCGAACCTCCATCTCCGGCGACCCCACTCCGGCAAACCTCCATCTTCATCTTCAACACTCTTTCTTCTTTCTTGTAGCTAGGTAAATCAAACTCCATTTCATCTCATTTTGAACTTAGGGTTTTGAATGTTAAAATTTTCGAATTTTTAGATTATGAATTGATTGTGAATTGAGTTGTTGTGAAATGTGGATATGTATGAAATGTTGAAATTTGATTTTAAATTGATTGTAAATTTTAAAGTGTGTTTTGAAATATGAAACGTGGTCTGTTTAAGTGTGGTCTGGTCTGGTAATAGTCTAGTCTCTATGTATTTATAACTGTTCAAGTCTGATCTGTTTTGATTTGTTTAAGTTATGGTCTGATCTGGTCTAATCTGATACCGCAAATAGTCCCTAGGTATGGATTTTTGTTCTCAAACCCGGTGAGTGTCCAACGGTCTCATATATGAAGATCTCATCCTTAAAACACAAACCTTACAAAATTTTAGGTGATGTGGCATCATCCTAAATCTAAATGAAAATTTCACTCCGTTATCTCACCCGGGGCACCGGCCCTTACACGTGGCATCATTTATTTGGTTAAATTTGAAATGGTTCTTTTACGCATATACACATGGCTTTTCTTTTATGCTTAATTATTAAAACCCTCCAGCCTCTTGTTTAATGCAGTCCTAAGACGTCGGTGAAGGAAATAAAGAAAGGGGAGTAAGACGGCGATGAGTTCTTCGAGTGTTGAGTCCTGGTCGATGGATGCAAGAAGGCGAATTAAGAGGTGTGATTGTGGACTCCAAGCACCAGTGTGGACTGCTACAACACACAAAAATAGGGGGAAAAGATTTTATGGGTGCGGTCGTTTCTTGAGTGGTCAAAAGTACAATTTATTTGAATGGGTTGAGGATGAAGAATGTGGTACTTGCTTGAGACGGATAGAGACCTTGCTCCAGAAGATTACCAGTGTTGAAGAGAATTTCCGAATGAAAGAATTAGAGATGCAAGATGAAATCAAGAGTTGTGTTCGTGGGATTGGTCTTTTGAAACTCCAAAATATGGAAGAGGAACTTAAGATGTCAAAGAAAGGCAATGGAACTTTCTCCTGGAATGTAGTGTGGCTCGAGTTGTTTGTTATCATTTTGCTAGGAAGTAGGATATATTAGCAGATGTTTAGGTGTTGTGTGGTTGTATGTGGGTACTGATTTGGTTGTTCAATTTGGTTGTATTGTTGTAATGAAGATTATGAATTTGGTTTTCAAGCTTATGGTCTTTTTGAAGTTTTTGTTGTTAATGATCATGTTGATGGGAATCATGTGTGTATAACGTAGTTTGTCTTCGATTGAAAAAAATAATAGTAAAAATTAATTAAAAAATTAATTTAAAAAAGAATTAGTATAACAGTATCATGCTAGAGAGGTTTGATGTAGCAGCACAGTTCAGCTGGTGTAGTGCCACGCTGGCTTATCTCTACAGACAGCTGTGTCGCGGCTGCCATAGAGGGAGCACAAAGCTTGGAGGATTTTTGCTACTCCTCCAGATTTGATCATAGGAGTATATCCACATTGGGCGTCCCCTTGTAGTCGCATATCATGGCATTGATGGACACCCACTCCCTGATGAGCCTCCACGTCTTCTGGGACCACATCATGTACGGGACGAGGACCCTCTAGGCCGTCGGTATGTTTTCAATCGTTAGTATTTATGTTATTGTATGTTGAATGTAAGTATATTAATAATATCCACATTAATGAAACGGTTACATGAATCGTTAGATGAATATTTGCTGGTCTAAGTCGCATGTCATCCGCTACTGGGCTCGGTGTCTACAGGGATGCATTTGATCGGATGTGTGAGGATCAGGTATTGTGTGGGTAATATAACATATGCTATAATATGTATAGCATAAATACTAATTTTATATCTTTATAAAACAGATGAGATGTTTGCAGAGTTGCCCCCAGCTGGACGAGAGCATAGTCACATATGGCGAGCACGTGTGCCGTTGATATGTTTTGACATTGTTGAGCTTCATTTGCCTGATCGAGTCTTGCAACAGTTTGGGTTTGAGCAGGTCATTCCACGGCCTATCGACACTTATGTAGAGCTTCATAGGCTGGATGGGCGTGGGAAGCATACGGAGGATTGGGCACTCAGACATGTCCAATACGTCGCTCTGTGGGACAGGCGAGCTGAGCTAGTTGTGACTGGGACACCGACAATTGTCCCATCTGTTTCAGGAGACTACATGGGATGGTATTATAGCATCACTCGTTTGTTTGTGTCTCCTTCGTTCAGACTCCCTACTCATCATTATCAGCCTAACTCCTTGGCTTTGCATCTTACGGTGAGTATATTACTAATTAGTAAAGTAAGTCATTTTATTTATTTAATACTTGTATGTATTTCAATGTAATTGTAATTGTGTTTCATATTTCACACACGAGCTTTGCAGCGTATACATCAGCGGGCTACTGCCACAGTGAGTGATACTCATGACGTGGACATGTATGGACAGACTCTGACATGCATTGCCTCCATGTGTTCAGATGTGTTGGGGCGAGTCGACTACGACCATCTTATACACATGCCCCCATCACAGGAGATGCCAACGACGTCTAGTGCAGCGGCGGCTTCATCATCCCAGACACAACATGAGAGAGTGGTTCTTCAACCATGACCACGGCGTAGGCGTAGACATCAGCAACAACATCTCCATGACCACGATGATCAAGATGACCATGAGAACTTGTAGTTTGCCTTTTGTATTGCAGTTTTTCTTGTACAGTAGATGTTGTAGGAACAATTTACAACATTTTACGTATTTTCTCTTCTAAACTCTTGTATGTTGTCTTGATGTGTTCGAGTATGAATATTAGATGATTACTTGTTATGAATATTGGATGATTGTACTGTGTTTTACCGGTTATGAATCTAAAGTTTTGTATTCGATTTGTAAAGGATCTTTACAAGGTGTTTTGTATGTTGTTGAGAGTAATGTTATGTATGTGTTTGTGAACACGTGTGTTGTATGTTTTATAATGTGTTGTATCTGGCTCGTAACACTTAAACAGGAGAAGGGAGACCTTATTTATAGCAAACAGATGAGTTTGGATTGAACTGGGACAAAAAATACTGAAATTTTGTTTTTGGAATTAGGCACGATCGTGCACCTTGCAGACACGATCGTGCGTGGCTGGCAGTAGCTGCTAGTTTGCGTTCATATGGAAGCGAAAGTCGTCCAACGGTTGGGCGACTTTCCCTGACCATGGTTAAACTCAACAGTAGATCGTTAAATATTTTTTTTCCAGCATTATTTTCGTAATTAATTAATTAATTAACATTAATTCGAAAAAAAACTCTGTAATTTAGCACAAGTACTAGACATCCATCGTGTGTGCTCCAAGTAAACTTCCGCATCTATTCGCGTGCGGCCCGAGTTCAGTTCATTTGACCAAGTCTTGGGTATTATTATGGGAATAAAACCTAAATAATACTAAAACACATGAGTTTTCCCAAAATATGACTCCATGTGTTTTTTTATCTTCCGTATGACTACGCAGCTATGATTCCGGCAGTTATGCGAATGAAGTTATTAGTCCTACGGTTACAAACTACTCATACATTAGGAAAAATTAGCAAGTAGTCATAGATTGGTCATGACACTAAGTTTTAGTGATACGAGAGATAAATTTCTCTATTATTATTGCGGTTACAATTATACCCCGGCCCGTACGTATATATATTGGGGATCGGATAATAATCTGGAGGATCATAAACTTTTATAACTCTCTTCCTTAGCTTCCTGTGAAGGATCGATTGATCATGGGAGCAGGGCATTTGACTCGTTCAACCGATAGAACACCGAAGCAGCAGCAACTGATGATGATGAATCGCCCCAAATCTAACCTGCAGTTTCATTTTCATCAACCCGCTTTGCAAACAATAATGCCGCGGCGGCGGCGGCCTTACTCCCCCGGAAATCATAGCTGAGGTATTGCAATGGCTGCCCGTCAAATCCGTCTTAAAATTCAGGTGCGTTTCGAAATTGTGGCTCTCTCTCATCTCCAGCGACCATTTCATCCAATCCCGACCGAAAAAGCCACGAGTATTAACAAAACTCATGACAAGATTCTCATTACAGTTCATGGACTGTTGTTGTTTGGAGTCCGCGCTGTGTAGCCGAACTTGTGGTGAGATGCCCATCCCCTTCCCCGTGGAAGCGGATTGCCAAAGGATTTCGATTGTCGATTCTTGTAATGGGCTGGTTTGTCTCGCTACTGACCAGCATGTCATCTTGTGGAACCCGGCTACTCGAGAATCCAAAATGGTACCCCATGTCGCTACAGAGGTGGAACCGAAGCCATATTATCATGAAATTGGATTTGGTTTTGGCGAATCTTGCGGTGATTATAAGGTAGTGAAGCTCATTGAAGGCCGTGGGGATGCATCTAATAAACGGGTTCGGAGAATAATAGTAAGTGTTTACAGTCTCAAGACTGACTCTTGGAAGACCATAGAGAATATTGAGGGCAGATTGATGTCTCCTCAAGGGAAATTTGTGGATGGGAAGCTTTATTGGCCGATGGTATATACTTGTGGGCGAAGAGAATGGAAGCAATATTCAGGGAAGGTGGTGGTGGGTGTTATTTGCCTTGATGTGAAGACAGAGACATACGAGAAATAGAGCCGCTTTTACCGCAGCCTGATGCTCCCAAAAGCCTGACGGTGGCTGTGCTGGACGGGCGCCTGTGTCTGCTTTCTAATTCTTCTTACAATGAAAAAAGCTTTTGGGTTCTGATGAAGAACAAGCAGCAATCACACAGTTGGTCTAAAATGTTTAGAATTTTCGCGTGGAGTCGTGGGATGGGGCACAGTGGCACACAACACCGTGAGTTGCTGCTCCATTATTATGACAGCTTGATTGTCTACCGTTGGAAAAATGTGTTAAAAATTGCATTAAATGGTCATTTTGGGGCAATTATTTGAGTGGGGTCCACTTTCGATTTGGGTCGGGTCAAAGTGTTTTCGGATTGTCCTTGTTAAGGGCTACAATTCGATATACGGTACACTCAAAACGGATAACGCGTGAATGAGAAATTGATTCTCGAAGTTGACTCGTTGAAATGGAAAAACTGGGAAAATGATGGGTTTCTAGTGTATTTTTATCCCACACCGAAAAACTCAAAGGATTTTCACCTCCTTATAAAGGGAAGCCTCTTTTAAGGAGTTAAGATTCCTAAGGGTAAAGGCTCTCTCTTACGCGCAGGGGGGTGCCGATCAAATCCCGAAACGGAGAAGAAAAACCGCGACTCGTGTGCGTGGGCGACCTGCGGACACGAATGTCGTCCGAAAACCTATCATTCAAAGATACGGTCTAATTTTTGTTTCTTCCCGTAACGTTTTATTTTTCCCAGTGACAGAAGGGGTGGAGTTCTGTCCGGAACAGAGATGCTCGAGTTCTGTTCGGAACAGAAACCCTCGAGGTCTTCTGTCCGCAACAGAGACCCTCGAGGTCTTCTGTTCGCAACAGAGACCCTCGAGGTCTTCTGTTCGCAACAGAGACCCTCGAGGTCTTCTGTTCGGAACAGAGACCCTCGAGGTCTTCTGTTCGCAACAGAGACGCTCGAGGTCTTCTGTTCGCAACAGAGACCCTCGAGGTCTTCTGTTCGCAACAGAGACCCTCGAGGCCTTCTGTTCGCAACAGAAGGTCTTCTGGTCCGTTGCAACAATTAATGCCCAACGTTCTTCTCTTTTAATGCTGCGTTAAATGGACAGTTTATGGACGATTCAATGCCCAACAGACTGGTCATTGATGTTCAACGTTCAGGTCCATTAACACCCCATTTAACACACAACAAATCCTCTTATAAATAGCTGACAGGTGCTTTGCAACAAACACACGGTTTGACAACACACAATACATTCCTCACGTTTTCTTGAGCGAAAAACACTTCCAGCTACTGCCAAATTTCCTAAGTGTTCTTACTGTGTTCCAGTTCGCCGGAACTTTCGTTTGTGTGCTCAAGCGATCGTTCGTTAGCCACCGTATCCCGGGAAACGGTCGTTGCAACGCTCCTAGCACCGTGGGAGACGACGAATACGTTTTAAGGACATCGTGCGTAGTACGAGCTCTGGCTAAAATCAGTTCCATCTTATTTTCTGTTTTCTTTTAGCTATTTTGTTTATTAATTAATTTTATTTAATTAATATTTCTTCGTTTTTTCCGAAACACACCCAACATCTACATTTACTAAACAATTTTACTTAGGAGAAAATAATAGTAAATTTACTATTTTATAATAGTAAATTTAAAAGAACAATTTTACTTAGGAGAAAATAATAAAAATACCTCAAACTTTGAAGGGGTGTGAAGTAAACACCCTAAACATGCATATGTAATTTAAATACCTCAAAATTTATATAAAAAGTTATTTTCACATCATTATTGTCATGTATTATTTCTTTTAAAAAATGTAAGTTTATGGAGCCGGAACAAGACGGTTAGGTCCTGATTCGATCATTTTTTTCATTGCAAGGTTTAGAATCATTTTTAAAAAGGCATGAACCCATTCAAAAGGGGCAGGTAGGGAGCGTAAAGGGTTTCAAAAATATAAAAATTTAAAACCCAAGAGTAAGACTAGCGGCATGCAACGAGTGAGGGCAACGGCGATGATCTTCATCCTATCATTGCTGAAGGTGATCTCCACACGCTACTGATGTTCAAGCAGAGAAGATCTAGCACTGCAAGAGAGGTCGAGTTCATATGTCAAAAAGAGTTGATCAGGGTAGGGGCATATAAGTCCATTGATAACTTTTTTTTATCCTAATTCCTATTCTTATCTTATCAAAATCTGTAAATTATATTTCTGTGATTTTCATTCAGCATCAGGCATCAGCTGAAAATCCTGGAATGGATTTTCGTAAAAAATGAAGCAAAGGGGTTCTCAACATAGCATTGCATGTCACACCCATGAGACATTGTTAGCCGATAAGTTTGTAGGGCACTTGCCGCTTCTAGTCTAGTATTATAGTACATTGTGTCTGGTGTTTTTACACTGCAGAATTGATATAAAAAACTAGGGGTGGAAAATAAACGTCCCTTTGAAACTTGGAAGTGAAGGAAAATTAAATGTCAATTCATTCTTCTCCTTCTGCACTGATCACTAAGATGTGCATCGATTTCCATTTCAATTTAAAGTACCCAGTCCGTGAAGTTTTTTTTACACATATGGTAAATGAATAAATGTGTGCAAAACCAGATCAAAATCATCAAATACGTACTTAAGGCTTAGCTACCCTCGGATAACTTGCTCAGCTACCATAAAATACAACAGCTCCTTGGATATTTCAAGTTTCAACACGTATGATTGGAGGATTTGGAGGCAGAAAATGCAGGGGAGGATAGGGGAGAAGGGGAGGATGGAATGTTCCCAAATCCCAAACAGAAAATATTAATGTAACACATTTTCATTAGATTTTGTGTAACCAATTGAGGATAAATACTGTCCCAAAAATGTTTAGCATGCAAAACCACGGACTTTGATCAACACAGCAATCCAGCAGCAACCCACCACTTCAGATCAACCCCAGACCAGTTGAAGATATAAGCTCTCCATAATATACTAGCAGGTCAGTAAACAACATACTCGCTTTATAGAGAGCTTTGCTTGACCAAAACAACCTTCTACGACGTTCCGCAATAAGACAACATTTTACACATGGTTCTCCTGTGGATGCCTTTTGTGGTCCCTCTCTGAATAACCACCAAGTCTCCCGCTCCTATTCCGGTCGTCTGGGAACTCATGGTATGTGTGATTGTGGGTTGCTGAAGACATGTACTCATGACGTTGCTTTCCCTCCTCCAGAGGACTACTTGCCTTTCTCTTACGGTTGACTGACTTGGGCGACTGATACCCTCCCTTGTCAGCATCATCATCCCCAATATAAGATTCCAATTCCCCTTCTTCTACAATGTTATTATTCTTGTAATCTTCATCGTTTTCCAAGGACGGTCCCCCTCCTTTCATTCCTTGGTGGTGGTGGTGATCGTAATGCCTATTGCCTGTGGAAGTCTCTTGATGGTGCTTCATTGTGTTGTCATGATCTGGCCTGTTTGAAGGCTTAGACCAACTCTGTCTTCTTTCCCGCTTGCTCTTTTCGGCCTCGGCAGCCAATTCTATCCCGTCCTCCAACTCTCTTTCAATGAGATCATCATCATCCAACACATCTACCTTCCTGGCTGCATCCCCGCGAGACTTCCTGTTTCTCTCCAGTGCCGCTTTGACCTTGTCTTTGTCAATCTTCTTGATGATAACCTCTTGCGGTGACTGGACAACTGTTGTGACATCCTTGTGTTCCAAGGCCCGGCCACTGTGCAGCTTGTTTGATGATGCAATGACGGCGGCATTTCCTTCTACTAACTCATCTTCACCATGATACGGCAATGGTGGCTCTCTTTCATGATTCCGCTTATCACTTGCCTCACCACCATCATCACCGAGTCGTTCCAAAATGCTTTTCTCAGCGCTTTCATAGTCATTGATGTGGTTCTGACCTCCCCCCCTGACATGATTATCAGCATGTAAATGATCAGGGATCGGCCTATGGGAGGAGGACGCTTTGGAGGTCCCCGTCTTTGCACTACCACCATACGAAATGTTGTTCTCTTCATTTGCAACAGAAGAACCTGTGGGCCTTTGGGTACCTCCTACTGCTGCTACAGCAGCACTTTCCTCTGCTTCACTGGCATGAGAAGGTTGTGGTGCTTTGTTCTGTTCATATAGTTCTAGCATTTGGTTGCTCACCTCTGCAAGATTTTAAAAAGTAAACATCAATACAGGCATCCTTCCTCTCTCCTTTATTAAAATCCTCCATGCAAAAGAGCCATAAATAATTAAACAAATTAATAAGTATATACATTTATACATTGGGATAAATAATCCATTTTAAGAATCCTAGAGCCATTTTTCAGAATATTTAGTAAATAATGAGCCATAATCTTCAAAAATGAGAGTATAGTCAGTAAGTCATTCAATACCGCAATTTATTTTATCTATAAGAGACTGAATGTAGAGTATATCCAAAGCAAAGCACCAACCCACCCTCCAATTGACGTGGGGTGACATCAAACTCCTGCCACCAAACCTTCTCACCATCATGTGGGAGCTTAACTTTGAGAAACTTGGCAGCAAGGAAAATGGCACCTGCTGCAATGTGGTGGGGCTTAAATTGCAAGCATAAAGATGTCCGAAGCCTGCATGTGGCTTTCCCAGGTCATCAAAAGAGACAAGGGGAGAATATCTCATAGGATCAATTCCATACAACAACAAAACCACAATAAAGCAATCCTACCCATCATTAACAAAATTCCAAGCAACTTGAGCAAGTGCATTTTGTGCAACCTTGAATTTTTTAATTGCCTCGACAAGGGGTTTATATGGATGAAGCAGATTAAGGTCAAACCCAAGGGTAGCCAGAACTACCCTCTCTCCCACCAAAATCAGTTCTTTTTGTTGTTCATAGACTTCCTGCATTGGATGTTAAAGTTTTAGATAGTTGTGATATGGAAACCTCATAACAACCACCCAAGTCATTTTAGCCTTGGATCAAAAGGGGAAAAAATAACAAACAGGAAATCAATAAGTGAGGATGCACCAGATTAGTATAAGCATTGGTACAGTCAGTATGCAATACCTTTTGCTTAATCCTTTGTATTGCTGCCGGGTCCTTCTTATGAATAACCTCGTAGGACACAAGTATAACATCTCTCAAGGGTCGAGGTGTTTCTTCAACCTTCCCGGCAAGAAACATGCATACAGTGGCAATGTTCTGCAAGAGTTATAAATGAGTTAATCAGACAGTTAAATTAACATGAGAAATAATATACATCCATAAGTTGAACATTTGCGATTCGTAATAGGTGCTCAAATTCTTCTCCTTCTCGGAAGGTGACACTGAAATTTTATAGTCTAAGAGATACTGCTGAGTGCCAAAGCAATATTGGTGCAGATAGATGATCCCACAACATGAATTTTACAAGACTAAAGGCACGCCTGAAAGATGCATCTAGGCCATCAAAAAAACAACTTC